CCAAGCAATGAGCTGGTGCCCTAACATGATCACAGCAATGACAGGTAATCTACTTAGTCTCTCCCATTCTCAGCTTCATGCCCTTCAGCACCAGTTCCATGAGAATCCCCAAGAACACATCTTTAACCAAAATATGTTGAACCTTGCAGGTGATGATAATGATTATAAAGAATATTAAAGCAAGAAAGAGAGAATGTTAGAAACTTACTGATGACCATACCCCAGAACACTGGGTTGTGCTGGATCAAGTGGAATGCCAGCCCACTGAGCTTGTTAATGCAGAGGAGAAGGCTACCCAACCCCACAACCCACTAGTAGCCATGCCATTTCCAGAATCTGTGTGCTTTGACCTCCTCCAGCTGCATGAATAGTCTGCAGATGTACCTGCAGAGCCAGTACACACTGACCCAGTCATCATGATCATGGTGCACTGGCAGGAGTCTGGCAAGCATAGCATGTCAGACTTATCATCCAAGATTGTCCAGGCCTATCTTGGTAAGATGTGTATGTCACAGTGATTGGTAAGCTTACATAGTTAATGATTGAGATATCTTCTGACATCCAATAGGTATAGCATGCATACTATATTGATATAGTGCTATCAGAGCATGGTGCAATGTGGTTTGCTGATGCCCAGCCATCCAGATAGGCAGATGGAATACAGCTCATATGTGCCCATATTGCTGACTTGGTGAACAAGGCCAAGGCACTATAAGCTAGTTATTCTTATAAATATATATCAGGACTAATATTATGTCTAGCTATAATAAGAAATTCCACATTCTCACCATTGTAGATATTCATTCAAATGATGGTGATAGAGAGCTGCTTTATAACAGGTATCACACCTATGGCACTCCCATGCAAGTAAGTGACCTTGTTCTACATGAATTCTAGGTTTCTAATATGTTGTGCAAGATCTGCACCACAGTACTAGGGGCAGTGGTTCCCAAGGAGATCTGCAATAACTCCACAGTGGTTTAGTGCTATTGGTTTATAAGGCTATGACCTTCTCTCTCTCTCTTTCTGTCTCTCTCCCTCTCTTGTACCTCCCCCCAAAAAAACCAAAAAAAAAGATTCATATCACCTACATAGTTATGCAAGCAGAACAATTTCTCCTAGATACATAGATAGTTTAGAATGAAATAGTATTCCCTCCTGCCTGTAAATTATGTGTGTAGCTAGACATGATCCAATCTATCATAGAGAAGCCAAAATGTGCTTAATTTCATTCCCCAAGAACCATAACTGGGAGCCTGATTAATAGAACAAGGCAGGCTATATGAGGCATGATAAAGAGCCCCAGAAATTATTAATTGAGAGTACTTTAAAAACAATATTTATTGTTGATTTCAGTGCTTTAGAATTGTTGATATTTTTATTAATCCATTTCAATATAATAATACTAGAATACTCTCATTGTCATTGCTATCATCATGATCATAATGCTCCTTGTTGCCCACATCAACCCCACCATTCCTGAATCAAAGCACTGTGTTCCTGGTCCTGGTGCTATGTCAGCAAGTCCTTTCTGAATAAAATGCATCACATATAAGTGCATATATCTTGCTTCCCAGATGCTGGAGCATGCTCAATCAGGTATGAGAGGGAAGAGTATTGGTGTGGGAGGGGAGGGAGGGGGAGGGGTGCAGATAGAGTGGTGGGAGTGGTGGTGGGAGTGGTGGTGAGAGTGGTGGTGGTGGTAGTGGGAGAAGGAGGATCCAGACTTGGTGGTGAGGGAGTGAGATGGACGTAGACAAGTTTGGCATGATACACCATTATGAGACCCTTGGTAGCAGTGGAGAAGAGTCCATAAGCATGGATTCAGATGTGCTTAATTTCATCCCATAAACAGAATCTGCACTTGAATTGCTGAATTCTTACTTTTAAGTACTTTCTGGGCTGAAACCAGGACCCATTTCCACATTCAGTGTATGTGCACATACATGCCTTGTGATTATTACTTTTATTTGGATTCTACTACTAATTCTACAGGGAGTAATATATCAGCTATATACATGTAAGACTTAACCTTAGTGAGCAGAGCTATAATTATGCACTGCCCTAGCTGGAATCTGGAATCCAGAATTTGAATTCCAGATTCTATGTCAGGGGCCCTAGATGATCTCAAATATGGGGAAGATCACTGCCACCAGAAACATAGCCTGCCACCTCTGAGTCAAGCAAATTCCTCTGGTGCCCCCTCTGCAGAGACACCCTTCCTACAATGCCCCTCCAGGGGCAATTGCCCCAAATGCCCTCTTCTTCACATGTGCTGCATATTTACTTGTGCTCTTTATGGCAATGAGAAAGAAAAGCATGAGTAAATATTTCAGGGGTCCCACCCTTGTTATGAGTTTCCTGTCACTGCCTGTGAGGGCAACACAATCCAACAATTGTTGGTGATCAAATAACTGAACAGGTGATGAGCAAATCAGAGAGTAGTGAGTCATACGTCAATCAATACCTTGATGTTTGTTCACAAACGGAGTGGTTGACAGGGGTTTTATAGAGTAAGTGGTGATTGGCAGCCAACAGGCACAATTGTGTGTGTGTTGTGTGCATGTTTGGAACAATTAAAGCTTTGTGTTTAGAACCTAATGACCTTGGACCATGGGGATCCTAAGAGATTAGCTCTAAAGAGCTACAGGGGCTATACCTAGGGTTCTATATATGTCTAGGTATGAAAGTAAAAGGAAGCAAAGTCTGTGGCTGACTATACAGCTTACTTAGGGCAGGTACCTTATGTCTCTTGTCTGGTTGGTCCCGCATGATCCATGACTGACATCTCATGTTTTGGGATCTGTCCTTCTTGGAGTGAGGTGATTGTAGCATTGGCTGTCATTTGGGGTGTCATGCCATGTGACTGTGCTCTGATTATTGTCAATTGCAGCTGTCTGCAATTGATTTTAGGGACCTCCCCTGACACTGCCACACTGGAGAGCACAAGTAAATATGCAGCACACATGAAGAAGAGGCATTTGGGGCAATTGTCCCCAGAGGGGCATTGTAGGAAGGGTGTCTCTGCAGAGGGGGGAAATTGCTCCCTCTGACTCTACCACTAGTGCATCAAGTCATTTTCCTTCATCAATGGTGATGTGGTGTCGATGCATTGTGCTCTCTGAATTCCTGAGGTCATCAATGAAATCCTTATTCATTGCAAAATGGTGCCTGCTGTTCAATTAGGGAGAACATGTCGCCTGCTCTTTGAACTGTCAATGAATGCAGTTTGGCACATGTCCTTCTGCTGCCATTGGTCCCCTTCTGGAGTCTGAGCATGGAGATTCTCCTCATGGAACATCTATAAACAAACTTTCTGGAGTTTCTTGAAGATCTAGCTTATGCGTGCCCCAGAGAAGGCTCTGCAGTCAAGGAGCCATGTACCTTGCATGTGTCCAAAGCCTCAAGATCAGCAGAGGAGACTTATGCGACATGAATATGAAGGACCTCACCTTACTTTCAGCTGCATTCAGCAATCTTCGGCATTTAACCATCCAAATCATTGCCGATAGAGAATACGATGGCTTTGTTGCAATGCTGCTGCCAGGGTTAACCCAGTTAGATGTCAAGTTTTCTCCACTACGATATGTACAAATTCCCCCACAGTTGCCAGATGAATCACTACCAACATGGCAACAATTCCTGCAATTTCCTCAATTATGGACATTCGCATCAAGAATTTGAGATAGTTGGCTATGAAAATCAGCTATGCCCCAGACAGACTTGCGAGAGACTTGCAGTCTGCCCTGTGTCATATTCTCCGCTTGAACATGGAACTCGAGACAGTGGACATCAACGTACAGTGGGCAACGAATGATTTCAATCAGGAGTTCTATTATCAGTTATCCCAAATGCAGCACCTCAAAAGCCTAACACTGAGGACATTTCATTCTTGTGCTAGGAATTTGGAATCGAATATCCCGGAAGCGTTTGGAGCACTGCGAAAGCTGGATTGTACAAACGCGTCATGCGACGGCATAAACAACCTACTCACCTCCATCGTCTCACATCAGATGAAAGAAATCAAGACAACCTTCAGCCATCCAGCCAGTGAAGAGCAACTACCAATACTCATAAAATCGATTATGCATCACTCCACAACTCTTCAGTCCTTGATGTTGCGATTTGACGACGTCGGAGAGCCTCCCGCTGTGTCTTGGGCCGCTTTTGAACCGCTTTGCATATGCCATTCTCTCATTCGCGTTCGTATACACTCCCAAGAGATACTCTTCGACGACGACAACCTCGATCTGGTCCTGCAAGCCTGGCCCGACCTCCAGGAGTTACGAATTACGGAGGGACCCCAGTTCTTCTCATCAACACCTCGCAAACATGGCGTGGTGTCTCACATTGGACTCGAGCGGGTGGCAATGAAGAGCCCAAACCTGATCGACCTTCACCTTCCAATAGATTTATCTGCTCTGCCTGCCTACCTCGAGCGAACAACACGGACGGGCTCATCAAAAAGCAAGTTGCACAGGCTGTGTGTCGGAACGTCAGATACTTCGTCCTTGGAGGCAACGGAGCACTTTCTGAGCTCAACCTTTCCTGACTTGCGAGATTTTGTTTATCATGACGCTTTGGTGAATCCGGATAGCCTGGAGGCATTTTACAAAAGGAAAATCAGGATGACAGCGTTGTCCAAGTACATAGAAGCTCGAGTGACATAAACGCTGTTTCGAGATTACAGATGCAATACCGGGCAGTGATTTCATCAATTGCACTATATGAAGTCATTTTCTATGTTTGAGATGAACCCATCCCAGAGAGGGCAGGGAGACCTGGACGTCATCCCCAATTACTGCGTGTCCATGTTTTGGGCGAGCGAGAGGGCAAATCTTAATCATTGTTCGAGTACATAACACTCCGTGATTCCTTTTTGATAGACTTAGCGGCTGGTTCCGAAACCTGACACCTCCGTACTCACACACACCGAAATGGGGACATTCTTAGAGGTTTACGATCATGCCATGTCTCTTTCCTTTCCCGCTAGCGCACAAAAACAATATTTGTTATTCCACATCAGCTCCGACTGAGCACGCGCCCTTTGCACATTAGCGCATCTGCCACTTCTCGCCTTGAGGCGCAGCGATCTCCCAGCTCACAGTCAGGTCCTTGCTGGTGCCAGGGGCGAGTTTAAGAACCCATTCCACCTGTCCATCGGGTGCGTCGTTCTGACTGCTCTTGTGAACTGCCTTGCTCAGGCTCGACGCATTGACGGTGCTCTTGTCGTTCGTTTCCCAGTCCTTCCTCGCCCAGTAGCAGAACACATATTGTTCAAGCTTGATCTCCTCGCCGGCCTTCGCATCCCCTAGCCCTTTCGGTTCCAACACAGAAATCTTGAACTTCTGATCTTCCGAGACGGGAACGAGGTCCCGTACAAGCAGTTTGACCTCGCTCGTGCGCGTAGTCTTGATACTGATATGCTGCGTGAACAGCGTAATGTCCTGCTTAGAAGAGCTGAGGAAGTTGCCCGTGCCCTGCTTACGCGCCTTCTTTGATTGTGGTGGGTACGTAATGCGCACCGATGGATCGACACCTACAGAACACGCGAACGTGTCCTGAGGTGACACATACGGGATGGTCGACTTGGCAACGAAGGAACCATCGAGGAAGACGTTAGAGGGGCCGGAGAGAAGGACGTATGTTGACGAATTCGTGATTTGGCACTTTCAAAGCGTTTAGCAGATAGACACACTACGGAATCGGGGATGCACACCTGCAAGAATGCACTCGTATTCAATCTTGGCACTGCGATCCACTCGAGTTTTGCCGTGAGATCCAAAACACTAATCACGACCTTATGCGTCGTCCCATCGCTGGGAATGTTGCTCAAACCCTCAATGTGGAAGCTTGTGCTAAGGGCACCTTCCTTGGCTTCCGTCCTCCTTGCACCCATCAAGGGAGGCGGTAGGGATTCTTCATACTCAAGCATGTCTTCCTCCAAATCGCACATGCGGGCGCTGCGATACAGGTCATTGCGAGGCATGGCAGCCGCCGGCATAGGCGGAGGCGGCGGTATGGCAGCAGTCTTGAGAACAGCCGAACGCCTCTTGTACTTGGATTTCGGCATGAACTCGGGAACCGCGCATATACGCTGAGGCTGAAGTTCTGGGATATCTGTGCCTGTCAGGGGAGACGAGGTTGACAGGATGAGGTTAACGTCCTTCCACTCCTCTCCTGTCGTCTGCGTGATCGAAGCACGGTAGTTGAGCGAGATGGAGGTCGTATTTTCACCTTTTGAGCTTGAGTTAACCGTAGCGCGCAGGTCGTACAGAGGCTCCCAGTCTGCATTCGACACAACTACACTCGCAGTCAGCCCAGAAATCTGAAGAATTGAGCATTGAGCATACCATATTTTACCGTCAGCTCGGCCGGACCAGCTTGTTCGGCCAACACAATAACTGTGACCTTCGTGGCTAGCTTCCGCGCCTCCTCGCTCGGGATCTGTCCATTTCTCTCCACTGCGATCTCTAACTGCACTTCCTGCAATCGTTTGTGTGTCTTCTCTCTCATCTCCTCCAATGATGTCCCTTTGTCCTCAAGTATCCCCATGAACTCCACAAGCTGCGACGGATTCACATCCTTCGCAGTCAGGCTCTTCGAGAAGTCGCCAAGAATCGACGTTTGAATAGTGAGCACCTTCAACTCGCGGCGAAGTGTCGCTTCTTCGATTTCAAGCGCTGCAACCTTCTCCGATGACGCTTTCGGAACAGTGAGCTTTGGCGAAAGACGCTCGTAGATCACATCGAAGATGACTGCGTTCCCGATGCCATCGACGCGCAATGAAGACTCGTCCATGCATGTCGGAAGCTTGCTGATCTGCACCTCTG